GAAAGAGAGAGGAGAAACAAAGGAAACGATGGTCTGACCACTTCAAAATACTCTTGAATCGACCACCACCACAACCACCAACTGTAACACGTCCAGAAATGCCACCAGCAGCACAGCCACAGAACCATCAGTGAACACAAGCGCCCTGACAAAAGCAGAAGTGAAGTCCTGAACTCCATAAAGTTGCTGAAGTCCGGGAAAGCAGCAGGACCAGATGGAATTCTTCCAGAAGTACTGAACATAGACGCAGAGACAACATTGTGCATGTCCATTCCACTATTGCAGAAGGTTTGGAAGGAAGGATTGAAGGAAGAACAGGTATCTGTACATTGATTGGAAGATGGCGACCTTGTCAAACTCACAAAGATAGGCGACTGAAGTATTTGCAAGAACTGGTGCAGAATCATGCTCCTGTCCACAACAAGCAAAATATTGAACCACATCATCATCGAGAGAATACAAAATGTGCCGAATTCTAAATTATGACAAGAACAAGCTGACTAGCTGGCTCTAGGAAGTACATATTATGTGCGGATTAAATTGCAACGATACCACACACATCACCATAGAACAGAGCATAGAATGGCAGTCCACTTTACCTGTACCTCAACTTCATCGATTTCGAAAAGGCCTTCGACAGCGTCGATCGAGAAGTAATTTGGGAGGCGGCCGCTTCAACACCATGGTTTCAGTGCCACAAAGCTTTATCAACCTCATTCAACGGCAGCTATGTGCTACATGATGATGATGCTGAATGCCGAGTGATTCACAATGGAAAGCTCAGCAATGCGTTTGAAGTTAAGACCTGAGTAAGACAAAGTTGCCGCCCGCTATCACTGATGATCTTCCTGGTTGTGGTTGACTGGAATAGACTGAACCATGCAACAATATATGAGGAGCGAGAAGATGGGCATGGGCTGTTTGACCGATGTGATGACAAGACACTAGAAGATTTGAATTTCGCCGATGATGATTTATGTCGGATGTCTTGTCACACAAACTCGGAGATCTACAGACGAAGAGCAACAACTGAACAGAAAAGACTGGGCAACGAAGACAGAACTTCCTTCAAGTGAACGTAGAGAAGACACAGGTGATGAGGATACCCAACCAACAACAGCAATCACCAATCACTAAGAACGGGAGAAACCTAAGGGAAGTTGTCACTTTCACCTGCTTACTGAAGCAGCATCGTTTCAACCACAGGTGACACAGATACACACGTCAAAGCCAGGATCGGAAAAGCAGGACAGGCCTTCATTAATCTGAAACCAGTGTGGAGGCCTACTGCACTACACTGGACTCAACATAAAGTGTGAACAAAACCCTGGTTTTCGATACTAAGTCAGTCAAGTAATTCAGTGCTTGTATGAGATGGTTGAGAGACTTGGTGCATTACGAAAAGCATTTCCAACAGACTACAGACATTCATCAACAGCTGCTGCGTGGGCTCACTCGATACTGACACTGAAGATCAATCAGATGGCCGGAGTAATAAGAATAAGCAGTAGGGAACTCTGGCTGGCTGGCTGGCTGTCAACGAACTAACCAACAACCTATCACCCAACAAATATGCAGAAGTAAGTGGAGATGGATTGTGTTGGATTGGATTGGGTTGTATTGGGCATACACTGGGGAGACCGTTTGGGGACATCACGCTCCAGACCAGGTGGTCGAGTGTAACCCAAAGGGGGAACAACGAGTTGGGTGTCCGAGGTGAGGGTGACATGGAGGAGATGGTGTGAGGGAGAAATGAGAACTTGTTTGCAGTCGTGGGTTCAGGTGAATGAGACTGCAGAGAACAGAGTAAAATGTCGACGTGCTGGTGAAGACCTATTTTTCACTAAGAACCTAAGAGACATATAATATTATACATAAATGGTATGCGAATGTCCATTGCTTGTTTTTATGCAGTGTTAGGAGGTATAGGCTGATAAACAATCGTTGTGGTAAGATAATTTCTCGGCTTTATATTTTGCCGATATTCTCTGGAACATGCTTATAGTCATTTTGTGACATTCGGTTATTAAGTTTATTCACATAGTCTGTTTGTTATTCACATATAGATAAACAAAGACGTCTTGTCTTATATTTTCCCCTCAATTTTTTTTAATGTTTAGCCTTACACGAAATACAATACCTAACGCAATAAACTTCACTAGGTATACACTTTTCGATTTTCTAATTATTTGTATAGTCATAGTATTACTAAGTATATCAAGCCCGATGCCAAGTAGTTTCTCCCTCTTCATGTTACATACCACAAGTTGATATGACAAGATACCGCAAACTCTTTGCTTAACTTTCTTTCAAACCATAGTTTTACATTGAAATTTGTGCAAAGGAATGCCATTTTACTAATCTTTGGAAATATCACCCGTACATAAATCAATATATTATCTATTGAAAACAAATTAGTATTCAATGATGACTCATTTAAAAAGGAATAGTAAATATCTCCCACTTACCAATATAGTGTCAAAAAAAGATATGACACAATAACTGTGTTTGTATTACATCAGTAAAAAGGTCTTAAGCAAAAGTGTGAATGACCTTATATGAGCTTTAAGTATATTTTTAGACAGTCGATTAAATGAACAGTCACATAAAGATTTCCGTCATAACTATCGTATACCTATTGTTTTCGGAGTTTAGCCACGTGCACAGGGACAAATACCAACGTCAAACTTTCTGGTGGTATATGATAAAAATAAACTTAACTTTCTTGATTTTATTTCTGAATAGTTATCTTTTATCTTAGTGTCTACTTCAAGCATTTTTCATTCATGCTCATTACGATAAAATATTCAATGGTTGATGTAGATGGTTGACGATATTCATTGTAGCGCGATACTTTGAAAACCATGACTTATTCCTAGAAATTATTATTAGAAATTTTATAACCTATACCTTATGGTGACTGTTGAACGAATGTTCGCATGAATTAGGCTAAGAATATCCAAATGGCATTGGAAACCATCCAGTTACGTATCTACAATGGTAAAAATTTGAGTGTTGTTGAGTTTCAGCCACAACAGTTAACATCCTTAGCATTAGTTCGTGTTTTTTGAATTTTATAGTGATTAAAGTTGAATCTCACTTTTTTCTATTAAAAATAAGCATTAATTCTCCCCTGCATTTGTATAAAAAGTATTTTCTGTAGCGGCTCTTTAAAAAGTTAGTTAACGTAACTAACGCAAGAATTTACCGGTAAGTTATTCACATACATTCTCTACACAATTCACCATTGTATGAAATAAACATACAGAACCAATTTTTAATAATAAAAAGTGGTTCTGCTGTTTTTGCGAAAATCAACTGGTTTCCAACAAGATGATTAGCTTATGATTTATCAAAAACTGAACATTAAGATGGCGGCCTGCTTGAACTTTAGACTACTAATGAAATTTTCCACCAGACATATTATTTCAAATTCTTTCCTTTAGCTTGTTTTAATCGTTCAAATATGTCTTCCAAGCGTATCACGTAATCTTGGGGTTTTTTTAAATGCTCTGAACTAGTCGTTCTATGAAATAATAAAAAATGAAAGAAAAATGTCATATAAGATGGAAATGAACTTTTGAATGCACAAAAACACCAGATTTTTATTGTTTGGATACCCTTCACGAGTAGTACATTCTTCTGCTAACTAAATGAACCACCACTACTAAATACCGGATGCTAATCCAGAAAAAACTGGCTGCTTTACATTGTTACCTTTGATGATATTATAATGAACATCATTCAGATGCAATAATCATTTCGTTTGAAAATATTGTTTTGGAAGTAAATTTGTTAACTTATTACATGCTGAGAATTCCATACTATATCAAAAATATTGTTTAGAATAAAGTTATTAATAATAGGTAAAAAGATCAATAAAAAAGAAACTAGAAATTTCAGACGATAGTTGGAAAATAGGTTGGTCTAAAACTAGAATAATTAGTCAATTCTTGATTTGCTACTTTTTCTTTTTTTCAACTTTTTGTTGATTATGCATTCCAAATATATTCGATGGATATTTCATTTTCCTGAACAATCAGTTAGTGTTATCAGACATATTTTGTGTTATCTGACAGCAGTTTCGCTCATGACTTCGCTTTAATGATTTGATTCTTACTAGCGAATATGAATGACTTATAGTATAGTACAAACCAAATTAACAAATTAATCGGTGAATATGCATTATGTCAACATTTATTCTAAATAATGTATAGTTCGTGAATGAAGGTCACATCAAATTTTATGTGTCCCAGTTAGTGAGTTGAAATCATTTTTTCACTTCAGCAGAAATGATTAAAATAAGTCACAACGAATACCCATCCAAGCACATTTCAGCAAAATCTGTTAATCCTAGTATGGGACTCCTCAGCAGTGCGCACCCACGACCCCGCCAGCAGGGATCGAACCCGTGACCTTCAGGGTTCCGCGGCCAGCACGTTACCATTTAGCCACTGGGTCAGAATCCAACGCTCCATATTCCCAACTTCTGTTAGCTCACGATATATAGCGCAGCCGCTGAGGAGCCCCATACTAGAACGAAACAGTTGTCCAGTGCTCCCAGGTTTCCCTTGTTCCTCCAACTGATGTCAGTCTACGATGAATAACAACTTGAAATAATTCCAAAATCTCCACAACTCCCTCAAAATTTGTTAAATTATTTCAACCTGTAATTTTACCTTATTTCAGCTAATCAGCAAGCAGATTTTATAATTATTTTTCATGATATTTCAAGATTAACGCTTACTGTAATCCGTTTTGTACATTATTTAAGACCGTTTTGCCCGTAGAAAATAATACTTTAAAATGTGATATGTAGTTATAATCCAAAACGACATGCGGGACAAATTCTTAAGCAACCCCGTAGTATTGACTAGTGGTTGGATTGTAACTCAGAATATTTCCACTTCATCCTTATTTTGTTATTACTTGGGATTTCGCGCATATAGTATATTTCCCTAAAAAACATTTCATGACTTCTTTTCCATTATAATATTCAGGGGTTTTTACACGGATGTTGCACACCTATGTTCAGAAACTGGCTACCTAATCTGGATTGAACCAAAGAAAAATATGCATGTACTGTTCACGTATGGAGATACAAATTGCGACTTTCTGTGAGTTGGTTTTAATTACTCCCAAAGTGATTCAATCTAGGTATTGTTCTGAAATCTTTTTTATAATTTGACACTTTTGTGATGACAAGTATTACGTTTCCGTATTTCAGTTGGTTGGAGGCAATCGGCAGGAAGCCTTGGACGTAGATTTTGTTCTTGTTGGCGTTAGTCAGCAAGGCGTATATGCAACCCCCAGGGAACTGGTATACTATGTAAGGTCTAAACCCACGTCACCCAGTGGTACGTTCAACAACCTTACCGCTGAACTTTCCGGACCGTGATTGAGCTTCTGTCGGAATGCATTACATATATGAACTGGTCACCGGAGAGCAATTAATGCCATATTTTTTAGCCCTGAGTGCAAACTGGATTCTATAGACGACGTGAGTTCTATGAACCTGGTTCGAATCTCGTAGGGGAAATCAGTTCCTTGAGGTTGAAGATACGCCTAGTTTACGACTGCCAACAAATACAAAACGCAGGCGGAACAAGACCTCATTGCCTCTTACTGATAAACACCCATCAAAGTGCACCACGATGGTAAGCCTTGTAGCTTGGTGGCAACATTGTAAAATGATCGATGGAATTCAGTCTTAACTCAGGACTAGATAACATGAAATTGATTGCTCTTCAGTAACCAGTTAATGTACGTTTCTCTATTTTGGATAGAAAGATAGTTTTTCTATAACATAACGGAACCTGACTGACCACGCTTAAAAGTTCAAAAATGATGACCAAAACTTTAAATGCTTTCAGAGTGTTGCAAAATTCAAACTGTTCTAATAAGAAGATATTACATTGGCTTACTAGTGAAAACTAAGCAATACTGAATGATTGTTGCACATCACTGGAGATTATCTCAGGAGCAAAGTTAGTAATCTGCTATATATATATATATATATATATATGCATGTATACATTCAAGACTGTGAGAATATATGTGCTTTGTAGTCAGTGAAGGGGTTTTTCATCAATCAGTACTTTAAAAATCAGTTCTTTTGTTGAGGTGAAGTTATCCAACCTCTAACATTCAACTCAAGCATCGTCAAACAGGCCATCTTATTGCCATGAGTTGTCATTTGTTTACATTTCCGGTTATATGTAACCCACAAATATTACCACTTCGGTTGCAAACAACGTGCATCAGATATTTGAGCCTCAAGATATAGCACTTTTTTGACTTTCAGCCAATAATAACTTCTGATAAACTCAATAATTCAATACTTTTAGCTTGAAATGCGTAGTTGCATGAATGAAATCACGACTCTAAACACCAATCATTTAGAATTCTTATTCAACAGCCGTATCGATTATTGCCATTTCAAGTTACAAATGTTGCATTGGTATTAGTTGTATGCAGCTGCATATGTTGCATTGAAAACTTCAGGTACACCGTAATATCACTGAAGCGCTTTCCGTTGAAATTAACACCGGAAGTGATAATAATGATGGGTAGCGGGTAGTAGTGGAATCCAGGATACGTGTTTCGTACTACGTAGGACTCGTCAGTTGGATGTACCCGACTCTCAACAAATGAAAAAGAGAGGGTTTTTTAGTGACATCTTTTCCATACCTGTATAAGTTTATTCATTTTCTATCGTAAACAAGTTTAACTCTTCTGATGAGTAACTAGTTGGTGATGAATGCGACACATACCTAGTATTAAAAGAGGAAATCTGAATCTCGAAAAAAGTGTACTTCATTTTCCATAGGATGTTCAGACAAAGTAAGTAAAGTGCATAGTTCAACAGGTTGGACATTTCTTTCAGATATCAGGGAGAGTGGTTCATTAGCGATCTCACAAATACACAGTAGATTTAGCAATGAGAAATGGCAATAAAAGACGTCCGAATAGTAGGGTAATTACTGATAATGAAGTCAATAACAGAAAGCGAAAGATAGAACATGTATTTAGCCACACACATTTCAAGCTAGTCTACCAAACTATGACTATTTCAGAGTCAAACGAATAATCAAGCGTGAAATAAAAAAATCTTCAGTGCTTCTAACATGCATAAGTTGTAGAGCCATTTGTTTCTTGAATCGCATAGCTTGATTTTTTAAACTCTAGTGAATTGTTCGACTACGGCTGACCAGTTATTCAATCATGAAGGTGGCAAATGATTTGCATGATGGAGTGGTATTAGGAAACGTTCTTTAAAACAGCACATTCAATATAACCAGTTGACAGAAGAGCCAATGAATTTTTAAATCCACGGTGAATTTGTCCAGTTGTAACTTAAAAACAATAATCCGGACTCCAACAAAAGTAGTTGTCGCTAGACATCTAGCTAGCACAGTCTCCAGAAATTCAGATGCTGGGTGGATGATTGGTTAGTTAGAATAACCTTATAAATGGGCACTTGAACTTCATTTGAAGTATATATATACACGTGTGTCTAAGTTTTGGACTTTATAGTTTAAGCCAAAATGCAAATCACTGACCATCTGATTTATTTTTTCTGTTAAATATTTACAACTCTCAATTTCACGTACACAAACATTCTTCTTTTCGTTATCCTTCGACATAAATACTCTATCTTCTAGGTCATTAGGTGGACTCTGACAAAAAACTGTTAGATTGTACGTCTCGTCCTGTTTTAGACTTGTCAGCTGGACGCACCGGCACCCAAGTGAGTGATGGTTTTCTCGCCAAGGTTTGAACCAAGTGTATATCTCTTCAAACGTCAAAGCACTGTAAAACAGGCCACTCAAGGCGCAACAACCACCTCCTGTGCACCTGGTATCGGTTTTTATTCATTGATACCTTTAATTTCCTGCTGGATAGAGTCACCTAAACTCAACTCAGCATAACATAGGAAAATCACAAGTATCAACGAATAAAAAACCATGATGACATTTCAAAGAGGAGTTAAGAGGTAAATGAGAAAAAGGAACAATAAAAATAGTCAGATGGCCTCTTCTTTTAAAAAGCTATCGCATTTTGTCGAATTAGGATTTCTTCAACATATAGGCACATGGCTGACAAGACAGAAGGTTACTGTCAAAGCATTATGACTGTTTTTCATAAACGGGATGTAAAGAAAGTGTTGGCCAAAAATGAAGGCTAGATAACTCAAAGTCATTTCCTTTCACTCTAAATTCTGCTCAGTGTGTTCACTCTTAAAAGTTCATTTTTGGATTAGTTGAATATTCCATAGTACCAGAAGTAAGTGATATTCCGGACAAAAGGTAAATTTATAACGACAGTTGAAAACCATATTAGCAAATACACCGGTGACTTTAAAGGCCACCTTGACAACTACCGAAGTAACCAATCAGGTTTCGATCTCTCGGCTGAGAAGGTATTTTTTTTCACAAAATCGAGAAACGCAATTGGTGAACTCAGTAGTTGTTGGATTGGCTTTGAAGGTCACTTAAATACACGCTTATGATATATTTACACAAAAATCTAAAAGTGGTATTCAGATAAATATGATGAGCCCAACATTACTATTAGTTTTACTTAGCATTGTCAATTTATTCATCTCTACTGCAGACTTCATACGTCATTTTATCATTTTAAGTGCATAAAATTTTAATCAAGGCATATTTTAAAATGACATCATATTCAAGGTGTCTACTTTTAAGTGTAGATTTATGATAACAACATATAAAATTTTCTTGTCGTCAGTATTATTCATCGGGCGATCCTAAAGCTTAAAAGACAGTATTGTTAATAATTTTATACCAGCTGTGTATGACTTCATGATATTCAGTGACTTTTTGAATCCCCAATCTTACATAGAAGTGAAACAAGTTTACACAATCTGTAGACATACAAAGGAAGTTGGAATTCGATGGTTTGAAAAATTTTCTCATTGATTTAGTGATATTCATCATTTTGCTATTTGTACCTCTCAATGAATGTAAAACAAAAAAATTTGTTTGAACCAATGTTTCACTACTTAATACTGATAGATTTATCAAAAGCCACGATAATGTATGGATGATTCTGCTTTGTCAAACAAAGATGATATTCATTCGCGGTGTATTCTGTGTGAATAAAGCATGAATTACAAGTTGAGGGGCTGTATCAAGACCACATCAAGCTTCGTTTTATTCTTTCATTCCTAGCTAGGCAGTTTCGATTCCAGTTTATGTGAAGAGATACTACTATGAGATGTGGCTTACAACTTCTAAGACCTTTTTGAATAATTTGGATGATAATTATGTGTTTGATGTTCTATAGAACACTCTTGTATTTCACTCTCCTGATTTCGTCTGAGGTATGTGATCTGTATGAGATGACGATTCCTGACGCCCATGTTCAACGCACGTTAGTATGTAAAGAATTTAGTGTTAGTATGAAATAGTACTTGGCAACTCACTTCTATTTAAAAGGAAGTATTAGGTGTCATCGAGAACTAAAAATATTTACAAATATGCATTATGTTTTATTTACCTTTTTAGTCAGTATATTACAGTTTTCCTTTCCATTCTTTTGACTACTTTCAGTAAGTTTGAATTTGAAGAATAAAAATTACTGTAAACTATGTAAAACTAAGTAATCCTGTGCAGTAAAAAAAAATTACTTTTCATAATTGGCGAAATTAAATTTCTAATCCTTTTTTGTAGATGTTATCTAGAACCAGAGGTACCAGGTGTTGCAATCAATTATTTAGAGCCTAACAGAATCAAACGTTTTCAATACTTCAATGAAAGTGATTACAGAGCAGTTCAAATTCACTCAGGATTGGCTGCATCAATAAACGGTTCCTCTGGAACTAGATACTCATGTATGGGATCACTGTTTAATACATACTCTTACGCAATTGACTCAGAAAGTGGTCAATGTTTTATTGAGCTGAGTGTATTGAACAAGAAACAGATGTGTGAATTAACTGAACCAATATGTCGTCCATTTAAACTTAATTTTCGTCTAGTTCTTTAAAACGTCAATGAATTTTATTTTCTGTCAAAATGTGATAAAATTAGGAGTCTTATTTCATCAATTATCAATTGAAATTCACGAAAAATACCACCAGAAACCCTTAAAAAAACACTAAAAATTAAAAAAACATTATTCAGAAAATTTTATCTGCGAAAAAAATCAAGCTTTTCGCTTCATGTATACTTCATATATACATTTATCCATTTCAAAGTATACAGTTTGTCAGAATGGTATTGGATCTAATAACTCTACTATTGGTTTTTTTCCTTTATAACTAGAATGTGATTTCGTCTTATAGCAAACTAATTCTTGTTTTTCTTATTTTGTGGACAACAAATATTGTTATAGGTGTAAACGTTTTAAAAATGGTTCTCACATTCAAATTTCAATGTTCAATAGTCTGTTCGACTGTAAAGTATTCACCGTTACATTTATGAGTTTAATTATATCTGAATCAGTGTGTTTTGATTAAGACTTCATCTTCATCAGCAGTTAGTAATTTCAATTTAAAAAAGTACTACAACTTTCATTAACATTATTTTGACTTTTGTCTATTCTTCATTATATTCTGACCGTCAAAGTGTTTATGGCTCCATAATACTGTCTAGTAGAATTCCACTTTACCAACTTTTGTGAATGCAAATATGTTCAAAATGGAATTTATATTAAATTTTGAATACCACGTTAAACATGTAGTCTACAGAATTAAACAGGCATCATTACTAATGCCATGTAACCTTATTATAATTTGCAAAGCTATAAACGTGTCTTGTCTGACTTTAGAAATTGATTCGATTTGACACCAAAAGCATACATTAGGAATGATTCATCATCTATACCAGAAATATGAGAAATTCTACTGTCTTTATGTCAAAGAAGGAGGGAGAATTAGAACCATATAAACCATATCTCAAAGTTATCCAGTTACCTGATATAAATATAGAAATGTTATTCCGTAAATAATACTGTTTTACTATGCGATATATTTAATCAGTAAGCTAAAGTGGAAGAAGTGTCTTATTCTACGGGGGTAATAACTTGCTACTTCTAATCTGAAGTTGAACTGAAACTTTAGCTGCTACGACACGAATGCTTTTGAACACTGGTTGAATGTAAACTGGTTCAGTCTTGTGAACCCTCAAGCATATTTGATCGTCATAATCTCAAATGCAAATTCGAGAGATAATCATTTTTTTTAAATTTAGTCATTCAATATTGCAAACTTCTCATCTAATTTACCTACAAAACGCTATTCTGTATCTCTTTTACGGAGTGGTTTAAATAAAAATCACACAACTTATAGCGCGAACGACATGGAGGCTAAAGCATGCCATCTTCAAGCTAAATTTCCAATTACGAATTTGTATTCATATGGTTTTAAAATGCTTTTGTGCTATCTATCCTGGTTCGATCTTTCAGTCTTAATTGTGAATGAAGCTTCTATAGTTCACACTATCTTCTGTGACCAAATTGTTGATATTGGTAGAAATAGGCAGCACAAGTTAGTGAGCGACCTGAAGTCACCAGATCTTTTCTAATCATCATCAGTTGTTAGTGGATAATGGCTGGTGAAGTACTACATCTATTTAGTATTATAAAGCGAGCCAAAAATTCACACATGGAATCATTCAGGGCTTTTCGAGTATAAGATTAGCTGATACAAGATATAGTTTACTTGTCATGAAATGCTTTATTCACAGAGTTTTGTTTCTCTGATTCCCAATATTTACCACTGAAATAAATTAGAATCTTTTTGACTAAACTTGTCCAAGAATGACATCAAGAATGGTCTGGCAGTTTGCGTACCAGTTTTTTTTAAACTGACTACAGGGGACATGATAAAATTCCATATGAATAGGGCGACTGTTATTTGTACTCGCCGAAACTTCCGGCAGTGATAACCCACTCTTTACTTCTCCACTCAAATTATACAACTTTTTGATAGTAAAATCTCCTTTCTGCTACATACAGACTGCAATGCCTCTGAGTTCGATTACTCAATACACAAAGTAGCAATTTAGGATATATCTTGACTATATAAGGATTTTTAGTTCCAATGTTAAGGACTTATATATAGTGTGGACTCATGACTTTCTTCCTGTATTTTATTTGGTTATTTGCCGGACCGAATTTTAAAGTTGCATCGATAAAAATGGGTATATGTAGTTATTAATATTACTGTCCATAGGGAGTTTCGAGAAAAAGAGAAGTTCGGTGAAGATATTCTCTTAGGAAACTTCACTCCCCATGGCTGTATATCTTCAATTTATACTTCTTTGTTCGATTATCTCGGATAGTTACAAGGATTATTAAATCGAACCTAAATGCAAATATTAAGCTGAATGACCGAAAATTCGCAAGTGTGAAAATTAATCACAAATGAGGACAGAAAACGATACGTATTAGTGATTTCCAAGATAAAGTATAATTAGGATAGCATGTGAACAAAATAAAGACAATGTTGAATTATTAACATATGTAATAAAATATTAAAACATTGGAAATATTAAGGGAGAGAGAATTTCACATTGTAATCGATTTAGAAAGTTCAACGTAGCAACAAAGAGGTAAGACAAGCTTATTTTGTATAGAGGATTCTGGTTTATAAAAACACATATATTCTGTAGTAAGGAGGAAGCGTATTTCTTCCCACCTTGGGATGCTGTGATCAGTGTTAACAAGGTGCTCAGTTATTGCACTACGAGTGAGTCCAGTTGCAGCCTTTTGAAGGCAGGTGGGGTAATGTCCTCTTACCCTTTTGGAAAGAATGCGCATAGAAGAACCTAAAAACTTGGCTCCACAAAAGCGGATAAGTCGATGAAAACACACAGAAGTGGTCAGAAACGGAAGCTTATCCTTTAGGTTGCCAGGTATCGTATGACGTCTGAATAATCCAGTCCACAAGCTTGATGAGAAGAAAGTTTTATCTAAGGAATTAAAAACTCAGTTTTCAAGATATTAGCGGTAAAGTTATCTCTGAAGTCAAGATTTACGTACATTACCTCCTTCGAAGCTGAAACGGGTATCTCCCTTTATGATTTGAGTCTCATGTCTCTTGTTCATAAACCCTGTCGAATATCCGTTTTCAGCCAGAATCTTTTTCAGAAACACGAGTCCTTCTTCTAAGCGTTCATGACTGACGCTGATTCCTTTGAGTGAAGTCATGTTTGGACTGATCGGACTCATGAAATCACTTGTTTAGTTTTGAATACACTTCATGCACAAAATGTGCTACAAGCCATTTCCCAGTTGAGAACCGATAGTTACTTCTATTGTACTTACTGGGATAAATGAGTAACTGGTAAGTTTTATGTTTTCTTACTACTCTTTTCCTTCGATAGAATGATTGTTCCATAGTTCAAATTTTATTTTAAAAATGAAACCTAGCTGGTGAATGAGTAGAGAGGACAACTTTTTCAAACAAACATTCTTGGTAATTCCTTACTTAGTTTTATAATTTTATTTCGAAATTACCCAACATAAACATTCAATTTTCTTACGGTTACCAGATTTTAGGTTAGAGTGCATAAATCAAAGTGTGAAATAATAATGATGAAACTCAAATGCGAACCAATTAAAAAGGCAATAAATTAGTAATCTTTTGATTAAAGTCATATGGACGACAAATTCATCACGTATAGTAATTATACCACTTCTGAAATTCTTCACAACACATTCAACACTGCTTGTGAGTAAGCCAATTTCACTTATGTAGCAGAAAATGGATTTAGTGTTATTGCTTGTGAGAACAACATTACTCACAGAGAGGTTGATAAATCCAGCTGACGATTCCCAAATAAGACAAAATGCACGTCCTGGGTTCCACAACTAGCCACCATCCATCATTACTATATAAAGAAAATGGATTTGTCTGCTTTCTTAAAGTCTAGCTATCAAGAAGAATAGAAGCAAGCATTCAGTGAAAATTTTCTCAATAAGTCATGAGTAGCTCTGTATATAGATTTGTAATCATTTTTTTCTTCCTACGCACTCAACGTTTCAAGCTAGGAATATTTTTACAGATGACAGTTTGAAAAAAAATAAGAACAGTAAAAAACGTCTTTATACTTTAACCAACGTATCAGTGAATTTGGCAGGATCGGTAAAATGAAAACAGAAGGACGCAAGGGCCTGGAGACGTCAGTGAAGAAACGGTTGCATCCAACTTCAACATGAGTTGATGCAGCTGCCATATCGTTGACAATGGTAAATAGGTGGATGAAAGGATCATAAGTTTCTGCGGCAATACTGTGTTTGGAATTTACTAATCACTGTGCGTAGCTCATACAGTCGAAGTATAGGCAATCGAGTCTGATCACATCGATATTTATTTATTACTTTCACTACAGTTGCTGAGATGGTTACATATGCTACAAGACTTGAAAGACCGACTGCTGATTTACTTAACCAAAACTTCTATTACCCTAATGTTACCGAAACGTTTTACTCAGTAATTCCCATGTGTAATTTGAAAATCGAACGGGAAATTACCAGAATTTCACATTTCTTCAAACTGTGTTTTTTCAATAAACACGCTGAGACCATTCACATATAAGTGAACTCTTTAGCAGTAAGTGGAATATTTAGAGTTATTGTGACCGTCTTTACATATTTTTACTTATTTCTTCTCCTAGTACGAACAACTACCTGTTGCAGCTTAGTGGACATCATCTAATTTATAAGCTTCAAATAAGTTGTAAACCTACATTTGGAGTACTAGGTTTGCAGCAGAACATGGCTTCTGCTAGGAGAGGTGAGATGAGCAATAATACAACTCATACTACAATTAATCATCCGGTTAACTCACATCGATTTCGATGACGTGCTTTTAGACATAAGCAAATAGGTGTAACAAAGAAAATTTTCGTGTTTCTTTTATTTTGAGTGCAGTGTGTAACAGAAAGCCAATTCACACTCACTTCAGCATGCATATCTCTCGGACTCAGCTCACTTATTAAATTTCCCTTCATACTGTCATCGCTACCTTTTTATTCATACTGACTTTTCCATTGGGTTGCAAGTGGAACATAGGTCTTCAGCAGCACGTCAACATTTTACTCTGTTCTCTGCAGTCTCATTCACCTGAACCCACGACTGCAAACAAGTTCTCATTTCTCCCTCACACCATCTCCTCCATGTCACCCTCACCTCGGACACCCAACTCGTTGTTCCCCCTTTGGGTTACACTCGACCACCTGGTCTGGAGCGTGATGTCCCCAAACGGTCTCCCCAGTGTATGCCCAATACAACCCAATCCAATCCAACACAATCCATCTCCACTTACTTCTGCATATTTGTTGGGTGATAGGTTGTTGGTTAGTTCGTTGACAGCCAGCCAGCCAGCCAGAGTTCCCTACTGCTTATTCTTATTACTCCGGCCATCTGATTGATCTTCAGTGTCAGTATCGAGTGAGCCCACGCAGCAGCTGTTGATGAATGTCTGTAGTCTGTTGGAAATGCTTTTCGTAATGCACCAAGTCTCTCAACCATCTCATACAAGCACTGAATTACTTGACTGACTTAGTATCGAAAACCAGGATTTTGTTCACACTTTATGTTGAGTCCAGTGTAGTGCAGTAGGCCTCCACACTGGTTTCAGATTAATGAAGGCCTGTCCTGCTTTTCCGATCCTGGCTTTGACGTGTGTATCTGTGTCACCTGTGGTTGAAACGATGCTGCTTCAGTAAGCAGGTGAAAGTGACAACTTCCCTTAGGTTTCTCCCGTTCTTAGTGATTGGTGATTGCTGTTGTTGGTTGGGTATCCTCATCACCTGTGTCTTCTCTACGTTCACTTGAAGGAAGTTCTGTCTTCGTTGCCCAGTCTTTTCTGTTCAGTTGTTGCTCTTCGTCTGTAGATCTCCGAGTTTGTGAGACAAGACATCCGACATAAATCATCATCGACGAA